TGTATGTCACAGCTGCACATCCTTCTAGTTGCTGTATGTGGGACGCGGCCTCAGCATGGCCGGAGAAGCGGTGCGTCAGTGCGCGCCCAGGATCTGAACCCGGGCCGCCAGCAGCGGAGCGCGGGCACTCAACCGCTAAGCCACGGGGCCGGCCCCAAGGCTTTATTTCTTTAAACAAACAAATTATGAAACAAATATGTAACAAAATATTAAGATCTGTTAAATCTTGGTAATACTTGCTTTTCTGTAATTCTGAAATATTCCATAATTTAAAAACTTTAAATATATATATTTTTAAATCCTAATGGCTATCTACTTCAAGGCCACGCAGCTTCCTTAAAGTGTACCTCCCTTTGAATAAAATATAGTTACAAGATACCTGGATTTTATAAAAAGTTGTTTGGAAAAATAATTTGACTGGAATAACAATAGACTGGCAACATTAACTCCAGTCAGTTAAGCAGTGGGGGTGGGGTGGGGGGTACTGAGCTCACGTGGTGGGCCTTAATATGTATATCCCTTGGTCAAAGGACACACTGACTAGATAGCTTGAATAGTTGAAAACTATTTAACTACATAAAATTCTCTCCACCGAATAATTGAGATAGTTGTTTTTAGAGATAATGACCATGTGCCAGGTACTGCTAAGGGATAAGAATAAATGAGAACCTGTCTCTACATTCAGAGTTTTGAAAAGATGACAGAAATATAAACACACAGTTAAAATATAATAGGTTAAATGCTAAACTAAAGATGTCCACATTGCTACATGAGAAAGAGAAGAAAGAATGAGCCTGGAAAAATGATGGTGCTATTAAAAGAAAGAAAGCTAGAAGCAGGAGTTGTTTCAGAGGCTCTGGGTTTAAAAAAAATTTTTTTTCAATAAATATAGTAGGCATCTACTGTGTGCCAGATAAATTTGGTATCACCCATGTTGAGACAGTAGGACACCTGGGTGGAGATGGTCAGTAGGCAACTGGAAATGGTGGATGAGAAACTAGAAGAGAGGGTGGGTACAGTATAGGACACCAACACACCAGGGGAGAAGATTCGAGAAAAAATGACAGAGGATTGACCTTGAGGGGAATCCCATGATAGAAGACAGAGAAGGCACAGATAGTTTCTGAAACACAGAACACTTTTATATGACACACACCTGCTGACATGCTGTGGAACAGTTTCTCAATTTGGGAAATACTGGATTTAGGAATAAGTGGGATGAAAAGAAATAAAAGTATTGGTGAAAGGAAAGAAAAGAGGTGACGTTTTTGTAAGATGAGCAAACATAGGAATGTTTATAAGGAGAGGGAAAGACACCAGCAGTTAGAGGGAATGATGCAAGCAGCAGAACCACTGACAGAGCTCTTTCCCAGAGGACGGGCGAAGCGCACAGGCAGAGCAGCTGCACATGAAGGAGGCCAATTCCTCCTGCAGCGAAAGAACAGGAAGAAAGCCTAGGTAGAGACAGAGGAAGGGCATGAAGTGGAAGGAAGAAACTCAACTGCTTAGATCAGATAGTCGTCTTGCTGGCTTAAGTAAAAGATTAGGTCATCTCTGCTAAGGCTGAAGGGTTTCAAGGATGAGTTGAGGAGTTTTAGAGTGAAAAACCAAGTTGGGAATCACCAGTGTGCACACACACACAAATAATACAAACAAGGTCATCAGTGACAATACAAGTCCAGAGGGGGTTAGAGAGGAAGCATTTACAAAAAGCAATGTGGAAAACAAAATTTTTTAATGCATTGTGAGCTTGTTTTTAAAAAAGAAAACTTACATCTATCTGCAACATATATATAAATTAAAAACTAACACCTCATTAATCCAAGATGGTTGGGTAATAAGGTGTTCCACCAGTCAGTTTTCCAGATCATCAAGGTCTTCCCTTTCAGGCAAAAAGCATTTTATAGTTAACTGTTTTAGATAGAAATCCTTCCAAACTATACACTTATCTCTCTTCTTAATTGTACAACTTGAGTCTAACAATCTTTGCCTTGAACATCCACTCTTGCCATTCTAGAACATCTACTGCTGCTGTACTGTGTGTGCAGCCATACAATTCTCTCTTTTTTTGAACTCTTCTATGTCTCTCCCAGCTATCAAGATATATAAAGCAACTGGTTCTTCTAAGTTTATGTTTACCCTTACCACCTCAACCACCACAGCCCACCTTAGCAACTTGGGCCTCCGACAGTGCACTGTTTCTCAAACTTTTTTAAACCATGGCCCTTTATGAAAACATGAGAATCTCGTTTCCTCCCATCCTCTCATGGAGCATCACTGCTCTGACCTGTTGCAGTCTAGGAAAATGGAAAAACTGAAACAAGTTTCTTGTGAATATTTATGCTACCTATAGGTTTATATCACAAAATTCTAGGAAACACATTTCCCACACATGCATCTAGGATAGTCAAATATTAATCAAAACATGAGAAGGCTTGGCTTAGCAACCAGCTTTAGTTACCTTCTCAAACAAAAAGGTGGTTACTGTCACCAGGGAGAAGAACAGGGATTGCAAAAAGCCATCTGAAGGCCACTGCCTTTTTAGTAATTGCTCTTCTAATCTACTTTTCAAAACTGACTTCTTAAAAAATTACCATGGAGGTGGGGGGCCGGCCCGGTGGCTTAGCGGTTAAGTGTGCGCACTCCACTGCTAGCGACCCAGGTTCGGATCCCCGGCACGCACAGACGCACGGCTTCTCCGGCCATGCTGAGGCCATGTCCCACATACAGCAACTAGAAGGATGTGCAACTATAACATACAACTATCTACTGGGGCTTTGGGGGGGAAAAAAAGGAGGAGGATTGGCAATAGATGTTAGCTCAGAGCAGGTCTTCCTCAGCAAAAAGAGGAAGATTGGCACAGATGTTAGCTCAGGGCTGATCTTCCTCACCAAAAAAAATTACCATGGGGGGCCGGCCCAGGGCGCAAGCAGTTAAGTGTCCACGCTCCGCTGCAGGGGCCCCTGGTTCGCCGGTTCGGATCCTGGGCAGGCACAGACGCACCGCTTGGCAAGCCATGTTGTGGCGGTGTCCCATATAAAGTGGAGAAAGATGGGCACGGATGTTAGCCCAGGGCCAGTCTTCCTCAGCAAAAAAAGAGGAGGATTGGCAACAGATGTTAGCTCAGGGCTGATCTTCCTCAGAAAAAAAAAAAAATTACCATGGGAATACTTACAGGTTCATTCCTCATTTTCGTAAAGAAACCCACACTAGTCCTGTAATTTTCAACCCTGATAAGTTAAAAACCCCTCCCTATTTGTTTACTACATCTGAACAAAAGGTATTTTGGAGAGAGAAGTTAGGATAGAAAAAAGGAGCAGCTGTCCAGTAAAGACAGACCATTCAAAAAGTCGCAAAATTGGCTTAACATCTGAACATTCTTGATAATCATTCTGGTAGTGAAAACACTGATCAACTTGCTACTCTCATCATTTCTCAACCAATGTAACTGCTAAGTGACTATAAAGCCCGGCTCAGGTGTGTCATCAACCCGCTACTTGAGGGCTTCCCTGGCCTCCCCCATCCAGCATCAGCCTCTCCACCTGACAAGCAAGCTCTTCCACCATCTACCTTTTCTAACCACAATTCCCTCCCCTACCTGCACCATCTTCTCCAACCAAAGTGTAAATGCTTGCTGTTTTCTGAAGAAGCTTCACCCTTGAAATGCCCTTTCCCCATCCCCACCTCTGCCTAACAAAGTCCTACCCATCCTTCAGTAACCTTCTCAAAATGTCACCTATTACAGGAACCCTTTCCTGACGCTCCAAATGGAAACCTTGCCGCCCTCTGAAACCCCAGCAACTGGCTCTACCTTTCCCGCAGCACTTTAAGTGCATTTCACCTCGTCTCATCTGCCTCTGAACAACTTCTATGCAGCCACCGTCTGCATTACAAGAACCTTTCTAATCTTGCTTAGCACCTAGTGCATCGCCAACACTGGGCTCCAAGTTGACAGGCGAGTTGTATAGTATGCAATCAAAACCACCTTAAGGGATGGAATTCCACCTTAGAATTTTTCAAATCAAACCGAGAATTCTAAATAACCATGGTAAGTAAATGAACAAAAAATACTGCATCATACGATGTTATCCTTCAGTAAGAAAATTAAAAACTTCCTGCCCTTTTCTTACTCTTCGAAAAAAGTAAACACTACCAACCGATCACTAATAGCTGAAAAACAGCTTTTCAAAAAAGGTGTTTCCAAATAAACGAGTACAAAGACTTCTTCAAAATTTTATTCCTCCGTTTTCGTGCTGTGCAACTTGCACTTTTTCCTCTATTGGATAAAATAGTGGTGAGAACCTTCGTATCAAATTTTATTTTTATTTCTTTATTCAGATACTCGAGAACGCAATGATTGTTGGAAAACAACCGCATCGAAAGCACCCTAATAGCCACGTATGACTTGGCCTGAGTAAACATAAAATGGCTTAAGGTCTCATTTGCCGGGATGAGCCCAGAAGCCTGGGCTGCCATCCGCCCCGCCAGCCCTCAGGGGGCTGCAAGCGCGGAGGAAAGGCGCGGGGCCAGGGACGCTGAGGCACGAGATGGCCCCGGCGCCCTGCCGGCAGCAATGGCCGCCTGCGGCAGCTCAGTTAAAAATCAACGGAAGCGGCAGCCAGTCACGGGGCTGCGGGAGGGAGGGCAGGGAGGTGGCGCTGCCGCCGAGCGCCTGGAGCCCTGGCGCCCATCATGGCGGCGAGGGCAATGGCCGCCGTGGGGAGCGAGCACGCCCCCTCCGCGCGCACACGCTGCCGCGCCGGGCCTCCGGGGCCCGTCACCGGAGCCGCCGCCGCCGCCGCTCTCCGACCCCCCCTCACGGGCTGTAGCGGAATTTTCTCTTCAGACGCCGCCTTCAAGATGGCGGCTCCCCCTCCCGGCAACCCCCTCAATCGTCCCCTGCAGCAGGCGCCGAGCCGCCGCCATCTTGTCCCCCGTCCCTCCCCCCCTCGCTGATATTTACATAGCGAAAATCGGCCCGGCCGGCCTGCGGCCTTCACCTCACGCCTGCAGCCTTCGCCTCCTTGCCAGGCCTCGCCCCCGCGCGGTGCCCCGGGCCGGCCGCGGCGCCCACCCGGGGCCCCTCAGCCGCCTCCCAAGCCACCGGGCGACCCTCCCCCAACCCCCGCCCGTTTACGGAGCGCGCCTCCGCCGCCGCTCGGGGCAGCCGGGCTCCTCCCCGGGCCTAACTGCGGCCTCCTCGGGGCCTGCTCGGCGCCGCGCGCCACACCACCCGGCCTAGCGCGGAAGGGCGCC